AACCCAAGGCTACAGTGTAGAAAGAGACAATTAGTCGCAGATGAAGAACAAAACATTTACAAAGAAAACAATACAGTATTTCTCCATTATCTGCCTATGTTGTAAATAGCAGTAATTCTCCACTGTTCATTCCTAACAGTCTCATTAATGTGCTTTTCCTGTTCTGCAGAAAAAAAAATCTTATTTTAATTAATGTTTTTTTTTTTTTTTCCTGGTATTCAAGAACTTGAACTTAGGGAATCCTTTAAAGTTTCATACACCTCTGCACTCTCTCACATATTAAAATACGTTTTTTGTTGCACTAGAAGTATGATATTTAGCCAGTGTCAGTTAAAAGATGTAAGAGCTTGCTCAAGTGCTTGGAAATGCCGAAATGTTGGTGCTCCCTCTTGTGGTTTTATTGAAAGATGGAAAATCACATTAAACCAAATGTGGGGATATCTCGGCGTATGTTGCAGGAGCTTGGCTGGATGTTGTTATAAGTTAAAAGAAGAAGCTAATGTGACCTGGAGATATCTTCATTTTTACCTGCTAAAGGATCAAAAAGTGCCAAAGCCCAGAGCTGCCTGGTAAGAAGAACGTTCCTTTCCCTTGCAGCAGGCAGTGACTGGCTGGCAGCACGAGGTGCAGAACAGGATGTGATGTACTGCTCTTACTACGCTCCTCGGACTGACACGCAGCTATCTATCTACCTGAAAGTATCACGCATCCTTTGCAAGTTTTGAATCTGAATCAGAAAATGTTGTAGACTTGATGATTTATGTTTCTGGATAAATTTTGGGTAGTTTGAAGTTGTAATCAGTTGCTGCAAACACTTGTGACTTCAGGAGTTTGTTTCTCAAGGAACATATGCACTTGTTCATTCCCAGGGAACCAACTATAGCCTTTTTTTTTTTTTTTTTTTTTTAAGAACATATTTTCAGTTGTTCTGCCATCTTCTTGTAGCTTTTGTTTAGAGCCATTGGACTTCTGTCCATTTTTTTTCACCAGTGTTCAAGGGAATTTAAGGGATGGTGGCAAATTTGTGATAGCTAGATTTGAAGGCTATCAGACTGATCAGTAACTGAAATATGCGTTAAAGAAAATTAGTTTTGTGTTCCAACATGAACTACAGCCACTCTAATAACTTACAGTCTGAGAGACTGTGTCCTAGTCTAGTGAATGGGAGTGGCACACTGTTAACAGGAAATCCTGGATATATGTTTATCAAAAGCATACAGTGCACAAACATGAAAAAATTAGGTGTCAAATAAAGGGCAATTTTCAGACTCCTGGTTCTGATTCCCTGCTAGAGCTGAGTCTAAGCCATGGCGGTTTTGTATCCAGAAGTGTTTTCTTCCTTCTCACTCTAGGTACATACATAAGAACTAGTGAAAGCAAACTACAGGCACATTGCACAACTAGAAGATGCTCATCTTTTCAGAGTATTTTGCAACAGCATGTGACCAAAACTGGAGCAGCAGATCTCAGGATTCCTGAGGCCTGTTTCTGGCATGGTGGAACAGTTTAAAGATATGGCACAATTAATCACTGTGACTTAATGTTATCTGATTTGGAGTATGCCAGAGCACCGTGCGTTCAGTTTGTTTCAGTCATGTCACTGCCAGACTTTTCTGCTGGCCTGAAGCTGGTGTGAACTCCTGCAGTCTGGGAGATAGACCAGTTCTGGTACCTAATATAGTATACGTGTAACACCTCTATGTGTCCCAATACTGTACACTGTAAACTTAAATGGGACAGCACATCATCTTTGTCAGTACCATGGTGTCAGTACTGTGTCTCTGCCACTAGTGAATACCAGGCTCATGTGTGTTAGCATCTTAGATTATTTAGATCAGATAGATCTGTTCATCTTTTTGTCTCTAATTATTATCTTTTCTTGTGCATATGTATGCAATGGAAAAAAGTATTTCTGTGAATATCTGTGTTCACCCATAGATATATATGCATACATAATTGTACACACACACATATGTACATACATACATACTTGTGTGCTTGTGTGCATACCTCCTTTTTTCAATCTTCCTTCATTTTTGTAGACAGTCATGATACTTACCAAGTCCAAATCTACCTGTACGGTACCTCTGTCTTCTGCAGGACTGTTTGTGATTGCTTTCACTCAGCAGTCTTCTCTCATTCAGTCAAATTCCTGTTTGCTACCAATTTTGCATATGTTACTTTTATTTCAGTCTTTAAATTAAATGAGTGATTTAAATCTAAGTTTAAATTAAAGGAGTGATAATCAGATTTCAGAATAATGAAGAAATGAGATAATTTTAGTATAAATGATGGACTCAGAAATAACCATTATTGCAGTGGTGAAAAGTCTCAAAGGATGTGACTGATTTGCCCTATTGAACACGCTAACGTAGAGAACAGTGTCCCACTGTTACTGATACAATGCTCACATCATTGTCCAGTCCTCTTTAAATGCAAAGGTTTATGATATTCAAGTTTTCCCAGCAATGTGTAGCCAGAGATGTTCTACTGAATCGCACCACGCAAAGTCAAACTGCCATAAAGTTCATGGGTGGCACTAATTGCAATTTAACTGCATGGTTATTACAAGAGCTTTTAATTAACCCAGTCATCATACTGTGGCATACAAATTGTGCATAATAACAGCATGCTGAGTATAATGACAATAGGTTTGTCTGAACTGTGAAAATCAGGAGTTCCATAATTTTCTGAGATTTCCTTTTAAGCCTTTACATATTGTTCAGTATTTTTTTAAGAACGTTTGACCAGAGGAGGGGGAAAGAAAGCAACTAGTAAAATGCATGGACTTGTCTGTTTTAAAATGTTACAGCAGCTTTTAGTTCTTCCTGAAATTCAATTAGATTTGTAATTCTCTTTTGAATAATATTTTGAGGCTTTTTTTTTTTTTTCAGTCTCACTTTCCTCAGGATATTTTCTGTTCCCTCTGAGAATCATTTCATACTGTTAGTTTATTTATTTATTTGTTTGTTTGTTTGTTTGTTTTTAATTTGAGGTCAGGAAATGCTCCTTTTGTGGAAATGTTTCAGTGGAAGTGGCAGATGATAAGAATACATTCTGGTCAGATATTGCTGCAAAATGATCATTCATGTAGCGAATGCACTCCCCTTTTCTCAAAGTTATGATTCTGGTCTTTGTCTCTGAAGAAGGGCAGTAATAGCACTGGATGGTTTTGGATGACTTTTTTTTTGCTTGAAATGTTAACTTTGCAGCCCAAAGACTGAAACGACGTGTCTAATGGATGTTATAGTTCTTCTGAAAGCAGTGTAAATAAACTAAGTGGCATTATAATTGTGCCATGTACTCATTCTGGAGACTTGAAGAATGCATCTTCAAACTAAGAAGACATTTATTAGACATTATAGATATTATAGATATTATTATACATTATTCTATTTATTTATCTATCTATCTATCTATCTATCTATTTATTTATTTATTTATTTATTTATTTATTTATTTATTTATTAGTGTATCATCAGCTTTCTACTGGGACATGAAAGTCTGACATTTCCGTTTTAAAATATTTGGCTCACAGACACAGTGGGCATCTGAAGGCAAAATAATACTGTATGACCTTTTCATGGGCACAACAGCAGCTCACTGAAGACACTGTGCTGGTGAAGAAGGCTAAAGTCTATTTGCCACTCGTGTACAGTTAGGAAGGGTTACCAACCACTAGATCAGGCTGCCCAGAGCCACATCCAGCCTGGCCTGGAATGCCTTCAGGGATGGGGCATCCACAATCTCCTTGGCAACCTGTTCCAGTGTGTCACCACCCTCTGAGTGAAAAACCTCCTCCTAATATCTAACCATTCCCCATTGTCTTATCACTATCAACCCATGTAATCAGTTAATAGATAGCATTTTGAAGCAACCATATAATATATATATAAAATGGGCTTTGTCCATACCAGGCACTGTGGCCATAAAAACTTCTGGTTTTCTTTATATGTTCATTTCAGTCAAAGTAAAATGTAGTGACTATTTTAAATTGGCTCTGAATTCTTCTGTCTTCCTTTTTCTTTTACTAGGTTGACTATGTATTGAAACCAAGGTTTAATAAATCACATGCAGTATTAGTTTTTCAGTACAGCATGCAAACAAGATATGTACTGTTTGTCTGCTTAATATCTTGCCTGATGTGATCCTCAGCATGAAGTATCTCTTATTTAATAAATATGTATGGCATTAATTACTTTTCTTCTTATTATTCGAGGAGGAATAATGAGCTATGAACATGGATTGATATCCTCTATAGCAGAAAATGCTCAGTATCACATTTAAAAGTTCATGTGAATTCATATGTATTGAAATGTAGATCAGAAAACCAGACATATAAAATCAGTTAGTATTTTCAGTGTCTATGGTCTGAATCATTAAACATGCATCTCGGATCATTAAATTTACATCTTCCAAAGTTGTAATGCAAGTTTCCATCATGCTAAGTGTTCACTGTATGCTCTGAGTAACTGTGGTGAACATGCCATAATAATTTATCAACCCCATAAGAAATCACAGAGTTCAGTGCATATTTAAAAATATGATTGGAGTTTATTACTGAAAAATGGAAATAAGCTGCTGTTCATTACATGTCTTGATCTTTGAGGTTGCTGTTTCTGTCTGCATAGCTGTACATTTTCTTGACAGGAAGGGAAAAAACCACCATCAATAAAACACATTTTGTAGCTTGCTTATTCATCTTGTATTCCTTCAAAAGGAGTGATTTCATTTATATTTTTCTTGTACAAAATGAAATACAATTGTATGTTTTCTGCTTTCTCTGTGGGCACAGTGTTGACAAGTATGATAATTAATGATATTTTTCTTAGCTAATCTTCATGATGTGTCCACAGATTTTCATGTTAAAATGGACTTAAACAGAATAAACAGAATAAGGAGATACAATATATATATATATATATTCTTACATATGTTCTTTAACATATCTTTTTTAATACTTTAATTTTTCTTTTCTTTAATGTCTGTTTTCCTCTTAGGTGAACAAGGTATGTGGCCCACCTGTAAGGAAGCCTACACAGTCTCCACATTGCTCTTTCGATCAGAACAAATATAACCAGGAGCTGAAAATGTTCTCAAAAGACAGTGAGGAAACCCTTGCCAGCAGAAGAAAGTAAGACATTAGTTTTATAGCCAGAAAGAAGGAATAAAGTAAGCCATTAATTTCACAACAGAATAGATTATATTCAGAGGAATGCATGAAATAATGAAGGGAAAGAGATACAAAAGAGAAATTTGCTTTGGCTGGCACAGAATTTCATCAGTCAATATCTATTCTACAGGCACTTTTTTTTGTGGTTAAGCAGTTGGTGTTTACCAGTTGCTAGCACACTGAAAATATAAAATTGTATTCTAATATCTGAGTTCATCTGGGACTGTTCCATGATGTAAAAATGTGGTGTCTGAGCTGACCTCAGGGGGAACAAGGGACATCAGAGGAGTGGACAGTAAAAAACAATGAAGCTTGGGGAGAGGGGGGATCGAGGGGGAAGGGAGAAGAGATTTTGAGATCCACTGGCACATATTTCAGTTTAGCAACTTTATAGTTCATTTCACCTTCACTTGCTACCTCCTGGATCATCTCCTTCCTTATTTGTCACAATCACTTTATGTTTTTCTTTATATTCCCATGGCAACTCTAACAACTCCTCAAGGAGAAGAGCAACTTCAGCAATTGCTTACAGCTTGCTTTTAAGGAAGCACAGTTCTCCCAGTCAACCACTTTATTTACCTGCTGTATACCTCCCAGCCACATTCACAAGTTTAGCAGGAAAGAGCAGGCTTCTCCCAAATGGTGCAGACTTGATCAATGACAGTGATTGTAAGAAAAGGAAATGAACAAAAGGATTCCATGAAATGTTCCCTAATTTCTTCATGTCCAGCTGCAGATGAAAGTTTATATTTTGGAGTATGTGTTGGACTGTCTCTGTCTGAACTTTTCCTAAATTATTTTCACTATCAGACAGTTTTAAACTTCAGCATCCCAAGCAGATAATTTCTAGCACTATGTGGTACATGAAGGAAAGGAAATTCCACTTTGCTTCTGACTGTAGGAATTGTCAGATGGACTTCACGCAATAACATACAATCTTAAAAATATTCAATGCTTTTTCCTCCAAAACCTAGCTAGGTTTTAGCAAGGAGAATGAAACTGTAAGCAAACAAACAAACAAAAAAGAACATTTCCAAATAAATAGATGAGAAATATTAGTAGCTTCCACTGACTATAACTGCACATTTGTGCTCGACTGCCTGTAATTACATGCTGTCTGATCTAGAAGATGATGTGAAAATTTACATTCAGACCATCTGCTTTTCTAACTACTTTGGTCGGACATATACAGGTGTTGAAATCAGTTATGTATGTATCAGTTATGTATGGAGTTGATTGGATCGATTGATTGTACAAAAGAAATTCCAGCTATTTTCTGTGAGAAAACTCTAATTTTCATCCAGAACATAAACCCAACACATAGTTAAAGGTTGTCCTACTCAATGTGAAATGGAAAATGCAACTTTGGGGACAGAAAAGTACAGGTTATAACTATCTATGATTGGGGGAGCACAGATAAATCATATTTAATCATATTTAATAAATCATAATTAAATCATATTTAAAATATATTGCACATATGCAGTTTTTTTAACGATGCAGTCAAAAATGACTCTCTCTACCTGATATTTTCAGAACTGCAGTTTTAGATATGCTAATACAAACAACTTGCATTAAATAGTTATAGTAGTTATGAATCCCTGTGCTTTGTGTATTCTGGTATTCTAATGATAGACTGCATATAATACTCATGTTTTACCTCTGTTAGTTTTTAGTAAACATTAATTAAGAATTGAATTCCTTATGCCATTTTAGATCTAAGATAACTAAACATTGGGAAATGTCTAGAACTTTTAAATTTTTTTTTACAACTCCAAGTGCCATTAAATAAGGTAAAATAAACTGAAGATTGTTGATTTATAGAGCAGTGAGTACAGAATTTGTTGACTCCACTCTCCTTTTTGCCTGCGGGTCATAGACAACTCAGTATACTGTGATATTCTAAACACGAAAAAATAAGTATTTTAATTTTTCACAGCAGGAATTGGTCTCCCAGGAAGAGACTTTCAATAAATAAGCAAACAAATTATAAACATAAATATCACTATTCAGTTACAAAAATACTAACTAAAAAAAACCACTAATTTGTTTTGATTTCAGTATAAAAACTTACCATTAGCTCTGGGCATCTTGGCAATTATTCAAAATAGCAATACATAATTTATAACTTAGCAGCATAGGGTGATAAAATTAATGTCATTTTTCAGACAGTAATTTAAATATCTTCTAAATATTTAATGTCTACATCTTAAACTCATCCTACCTAAATCTTGAATTGCTCCATAACTCTAACCAGTATTCTCTCTATTACTTGTAAAACTGTGTTGTGGACAGATTGATAGTGCTGAAAAACATGACAATAACCACCTATTTTTTAATTTGGTATGCTTTAAAAAGAAGAAAAAAAAAAAAAAAAAAGAGTACAAGTACATTTCTACAAGTGTTACATTGCAAACTGCATCAGAACTATGCAAGAAAATTTCAGAGCGGAGGAAAATAATTCCTGTTCCAAAGTATGAACAAATTGTTTTGTTTAATTTTCACAAATGCAAGTATGAACTCTGTTAACTACTGAAATGTATCTGAGGGAATCAAACTTAGGTAACAGAAAATTGGCTGAAAAATCATTGGAAGCAAGAGACAATATTAGAAAAAGCATATTCTGTGTCTTCTTGTAGAAATGCACAACTGCAGTAGTGCATAATACTGTTGATTGACACTATCAATTGCTTCCATTTTCCTCTATGCAGAGAATTTATCAGCCACCTTTGCCTCTACAGAGCCTTTTATGGTGGCCTGGCTGATCAGCTGTGTGGTAATGAGTTGGCAGCTGCTGATGGTCTGCCATGTTGGAATGGAGAAGATGTTGTAAAAAGGTACCTTTTCCACTCTGTTTTGTCTTTCTTTCTTTTTTCTTTTTTTTTTCCCTGTATTTTTCATTTCTCTAAAATAGCTTCCCTGTGGAATTAAGTGCATTATTTCCCTGAGTATGTGTCAAAAACAGATTGAAAAACAAGCCAGAATGGGTTTCTTAGGCTTCATCTGAGAACAGTAAAAAAAATCTGTCTTACTGATCCTCAGACATTTCTCTTTCGAATTTATGGAGCTTAACTATACTCTGGTTAGAAGAAGATTGACTCACATTTACAAAATGTGGAATTTTTATTTTTATTTTATTTTTATTTTTTTTGTGTGTGTGTGTGTGATCTTTATACAATGCTTCTTTTAACACAGAGTTTGTGGTAAGGGTCTAGAGATACTTACTTAAATTTTTCTTTAGCTCTGAAGTATGAACCAGTTTCTTTATATATGTGGTTTCTCAGGTGAAGGCTCTAAATTAAAACACTAAGATAAAATATTTTAAAGGTGAAATGTGTTATTTTACATATGCTCTTCCTGGCAATGCCAATAGCAATAGCAAAAAAAAAGAGAAAAACTAACTACTGTGCTCTTGGATGACTGTGTTTGAAATCAGAATGTTTCACAACTTATAGGATGCTAACGTTTGTGGATGTCAGATGGACTTTCACAGAAATTATATCTATGCTTTATAACTTTCATCAAGAAAACAAGTATTTCTTTCAGCAGATGACAGAGATCTCAGTATTAAGAGGTTAACTGCAATTATGTTTTATACACATCTGTTAATATTAAGTGTAGGTATTATCAAATAAAGTGGCCAAAGGCTGTAAGGTGACCTAATAAAGTGAGAGAGAACTGGTACTAAGCAGAAAAGCCAGTGACAGACTGCATCTTCAACTTGAGTTATGAGAGGCAGGTCCTGCAGAAGCTGGCAGCCCGTGGCTTGGACAGGTACACTCTTGACTGGGTAAGGAACTGGCTGGAGGGCCGGGCCCAGAAAGTGGTATTGAATGGAGCGAAATCCAGCTGACGACCGGTCATGAGCAATGGTCTCCAGGGGTTGGTGCTGGGCCTGTCCTCTTCAATATCTTTATTGATGACCTGGATGAGGGCATTGAGTGCACCCTCAGTAAGTTTGCAGATGACACCAAGTTGGCTGGAAGTGTCGATCTGCCTGGGAGTAGTGAGACCTTACAGAGGGATTTGGACAGCCTGGATAGCTGGGCTGAAGCCAATGGGATGATGTTCAACAAGACCAAATGCCGGGTCCTGCGCTTTAGTCACAACAACCCCAGGCAACGCTACAGGTTTGGGGCAGAGTGGCTGGAATACTGTGTAGAGGAAATGGACCTGGGGGTATTGATTGATGCTTGGCAGAACTTGAGCCAGCAGTGTGCCCAGGTGGCCAAGAAGGCCAATGGCATCCTGGCTTGCATCAGAAACAGTGTTGCCAGCAGGAACAGGGAAGCGGTTGTCCCCTGTACTCCGCATTGGTGAGGCCACACCTTGAGTACTGTGTCCAGTTTTGGGCCCCTTGCTTCAAGAAAGACACTGAGGCCCCAGAGCAGATTCAAAGAAGGGCAGCAAAGCTGGTGAGGGGTCTGGAGCACAGGCCTTATGAGGAGAGGCTGAAGGAGCTGGGATTGTTCAATCTGGAGAAAAGGAGGCTCAGGGGAGACCTTATTGTTCTCTATAGCTACCTGAAGGGAGGTTGTAGTGAGCTGGGGGTCAGCCTCTTCTCTTGTATAACTAGTGGTAGGACTAGAGAGAATGGCTTCAAGCTGCGCCAGGGGAAATTTAGGCTGGACATTAGAAAATACTACTACTCTGAAAGAGTGGTCAGGCAGTGGAATGGGCTGCCCAGGGAAGTGGTGGAGTCACTGACCCTGGAGGTGTTCTAGGAATGTTTGGATGTTGTGTTGAGGGACGTGGTTTAGTGAGAACTATTGGTGATAGGTGGATGGTTGGACTGGATGATCTTGAAGGTCTTTTCCAGCCTTGGTGATTCTGTGATTCTGTATCTGAGTGATGTGGTCTCCTTCTATGACCTCATCTCCTATGACAAGATGAGCTGCTTAGAAGATGGGGGAAAGAGTGTGAATGTTGTCGATGTGGATTTTAGTAAAGCTTTTGACCCCATTTCTCACAATATTTTTCTAGCTGCTCATGGCTTGGATATGTGTATAGTTTGAATCACTGGTGAGATGGCACATTGAATATTGTGTCCAGTTTTAGGCCCCTCACTACAGAAAGGACATTGCTGGTGAGGGGACTGAAAAACAAGACATACAAGGAGTGGCGAGGGAGCTGGGTTGTTTAGTCTGAAAGAGATTAAGGGAGACCTTATTACTCTCTACAACTACCTGATAGGTGGTCTCTTTTTTTCTGGTGACAAAAGATGTGAGGAAACAGTTGCAGGTTAGGTTTATATTGGACATGAGAGTGATCAAATTTTGGAAGTGGCTACCCAGGAAAGTGATGGGGTCCCCATCAGTAGAAGTATTTTAAAAGATATATTAACATGGCACCAAGGGACACAGTTTAGTGATGGGACTTAATAAAAGTCTCAAAAGTACATTCAACACACTCAAATTCTGTGAACTTAAACACAAGGGGAATATGTTTGGGCAAGAAGAGCTTCTGCCCCACAGATTGTGCTGAAAGATGATGGTTGAAATGAATTAATGAATCAATCAGATAGTGAAGGGATCTGATGGCACATGAGTAGCACTGGAAGTGGTGATGTTCAGGGACATTTTGAAGGGAAATGAAGATATCAAGCAATGGGAACTTGGACTACAGACAATGATCCTACCCAGTATTCAGAAACATCAAATTAGAAGAGACTAAATGAATACAAATACAAAATACAGTACAAAAACTGGGGCAAGCCTTCCAAAACAATCTTGATGAAACTCAGCATGAGCCCAGGTACAGCATTTTTAGGAAAATTGTGATATACTTGAAGAATACTCCCAAAAGCATTATGAGAGCAATTGAGAATCTAGAAAACTCAGGTTACCAAAAAAAAAAAAAAAATAAAAAATAGTGAAAGATCTAGATTTGTTTAACATGGAAAAGAAAGAGAAAGAAAGAGTTGATGGGGAAAATTCAAAGTACAAACAAGTTGTTGCTAAGAGGGAGAAAAATATCTATTCTCTGTTTCTAGAGAAACAGATAATGGCTAGAATATGTAGCAAACAAAACATTTAAAATATGGTAAGATTAAATATTAATCTTCTAGTGATGAGGACAATGAGGGACAAAAGTAGACAGTTAAGGGGCTTCTTCCTGCAGGAGGATGTTTAAGAACAGGCAGAAAAAGCACTGACTAATAACTGAGCTAGAGCCATTTTTTTCCATGGAGATGCAAAGGTGAATTGGATGACCTCCTAAGATCTCCTTCAACCTTCTGATTCTGATTCTAGTATTATCTAAATCCTGTTATTCAATTTATGTTATAATGATTCCAGGATACAGTAACATTTTAGAAGCAATAATGGCCTGAGCAGACATGGCTGCTTTCCTCTGTAAATACTGAAGAAAACCTGAGTTTTCTTGTTCACTTTTCTTTTTTTTTAATCCCTCCCTCTCAGCTAGTAGAGTAATAAAGATATTGGTGAATTCAGCCATGCAGCATTCCTAGCCACTGAGGGAGAGGATTGAAAAATCTGCAGTGTACGAATTAATTAAATGTAAATGAATTTTGTTTCAACATTATTCATCTCTGTTTTAACCTTCTATTTGAAAATTGCCTACCATAGCTGTTGTTGACTGAAGTTTTGCATCTGACATGAGAAAGCAATGTCATAGACTACATAATGCTAATGCAAGTGTAGCAACACCTGAAGAGATTGCTAAGTACTTGCTGTGTCTGTTTCTATCTTGAAGCAGCAACAAGAACTGGAAACAGAAGATAGATATGTTTTTAAAAAATCTTTGTTGCTCTTCTTTCTTCTTTACATTGCATTTTTACAAAGGAAGGAAGTTAGGATTTTAACAGCTGCAATATCATATTTCAGTTAAATCTTGTGGCTTTTACCATATTTCATACCACCTAGAGATTATCAAGTATAGATAGGAAAAGGTCAGAAAAATAGAAAAGAAAGTATTGTTGCAATGAAAGCTTGCCTAATGGTTTACATTTCATGTGCTTCTGATAATTCCTTTTTGCTTCAAGTCTTTTTTTTTTTTTTTTTTTGGTGATTTTTAATAATAAAGCTATATGTGTATTTTGCATCTCAATTCTACTGAAACAGAAATAGATGTGAGAGAAGGAATTAGTAAAATTACATGTGTTGAAGGATTCAAAAGTAATGGGGATTATTAAAAACAGCTAATCAAGTTTGGGAGGAATAATTTCATATGAAATATATATCAAAAGTATCCAAATTAGGAGGAACTAAACAGCATGATTGACTTTAATTGCTGAGCAAGCTGTTAGAAAGTGATTATAATAAGCATCTATCATCAAATGTTTAGCTTTGGCACAGCTCTTAGGCAGGGGAAAATAATTTTCTCCTTCTATTCTTAAGTATTCTGAAACAGAAGTACAATCCTGTATCATTTCTTAGCCAAGAAAACCAGAAAAACCAGATAAATGGTGATATAAAGAAATATAATTCCTCTTAGTTTTGTTGCTGTTGTTTTTTAATTTGAGATAGTTCTTACTTTATAATGATATGATTAAAGGCACCACTTGCCACTTACGTAAAAGATTTGCCTGAGCAACTTGAAATGTAAGAATAGCCCATTGTGGCTTTTACTGCTTTGCCTAATGTGCTACTGCCAACGAGGATCAGCAACAGATGCTTAAAGAAAAGCAATTATAAATATGCACTTCCTAACAACTGGCAAATTTGGCAGTGCCTGCCCCAGAGCTGTGAATGTTCAGTCTTCTTATGAACTCATAAAATTGTAGTACCAGTAGCATTATAAGACAAACTAACCAGAATTATTCATATACCAAGTCAACTTAAGAGGTAAGTAATGGATATTTATAGGTAGATGATTT